TATATATATCTTGCAACTACATACAAAATAATTCTCCTACTATATATAAGTTACCATAATAAATAATTTTAAAAATTATGGTCAAAGAAAAATCTCTCAAAAATATAGTAACAATGCCACATCAAATGGAACATAGAGAGTACAAATTATAGAACTAGATACTATATATGTGAGAACTCATTCACTTGAAATTTTGGATTCACCACTGACTTAATTTGTTACCATTTATATGACACTTTTTCTTATTATTTTGAATTGGTAATTAATGACAGATGGGAAGCCAAGTTGGAAGACTCAGCCCTGAGGTTAGGACTTGTTGGAAATATAGCGCTTACGTTTCTGTTTGTTCCAGTCACAAGAGGTTCCTCAGTGCTGCAAGTATTTGGTCTGACTTCTGAAGCAAGCGTTAAATACCATATATGGCTTGGCCATATTGTAATGACCCTTTTCTCTGCTCATGGCATTTGTTACATTATCTATTGGGCTGCCACTCATCAGTTGTCGTCTGAGGTAATTCAACTTTAAACTCTTCATTTTATTTGTTTTACCTTTAATGTGAAGGTTTTATAACCACACAAATGTCATGGCTCCACAAGTCTTTTATCCCTTAAACTTTTAAGATAACAAGTTTCAAAAGTCTTTGTTTTCTGTTAAACTCCATGTTGAATCAAACTACCTCATCTAAATTGAAACGGAGGGAGTAATACAATAACCTTATTCATTCTTTAATAATTACTATATTTTATTACTAGTATATAGGGGAGATAGAATAGACACTCAGCTATAGGTTAGGATGATATAATATGACGTAAAGCTAGAGGTCACATTTGATGGAGTGAACATAAAAGATATCAAGAACAACAGAAAGTGATATTATATTGTGCTTTAATTTGTTTATTTGCTTGTTAATTTTTTAATAATTTAGTGGGGGTTGTATCAACTTTAACCTTATATAACATATTCCTTCCTTTGCAATACGTCAAGTCTTTGTTAGCAAGAAAAGCAAAATAGTACTTCCCATATTTTGAATGACACATTCAATAATAAAAAAAAAAATTAATCGAGTGAGAGATAAAATAGGAAAGAGCAAACTTCTTGGATCTCCATGTAGTCAACTCTTTAAGTGTTCCAGTGGTCCAAACTTTTTTAAAACAAAATATTCCGTGTATAAAATAATTGACCTTTTATTCCTTTTCTTTTCTTGTGATATATGTCAACGGGTCCTTGCTTTAAAATAAATAGACAACTCAAAGGGGCAACAATATTTGACATGTAGAGAAAAATAAGATATGTAGAACAAGTTTGACGTTTATTATAGGAATCTTGACTCTTGTTATTACTGGTCGGATTCATTATTTATTTTTTCTAGCTGGTATAGTATAGGACTACGCTTATATTATACATTCACTAGCTATTTTGTAATTTGAGCGGTTGAGTGGCTGAATATTTAGGGGAATTCTTCTTATTTGAAAAAAAATGCAACACAAGTCACTAACAACAGATGAATGGAAAAAAAAGAGTACACAAATTACAGTAGAATCATATTAAATAAGTAGTATATTACTAAACCTATTGTAGGATTTATCATGAAAATATACTAAAACACAACTAAGTCCAATTCTTGGTGAATTTCTAATTAGTGATGCATCTTGATTGAAATGAAACAGATGCTTAAATGGGCAAAAACCGATATCTCAAATTTGGCTGGAGAGTTGTCACTGCTTTCTGGATTGGTTTTGTGGATAGCAACATTCCCTCGCATTAGGAGAAAGATGTTTGAGCTCTTCTTCTACACTCACCACCTCTACATTCTCTTCGTCGTCTTCTTTGTTTTCCATGTTGGCGTCTCTTATGCTGGAATTATGCTTCCTGGTTTCTTCCTCTTCATGGTTGATCGATACTTGAGATTCTTACAATCGCGATCAAATGTTCGTTTGGTCTCAGCTCGAGTTCTACCATGTGAAACTGTTGAGCTAAACTTCTCCAAGAGTAAAGGTAATTGAAGGAACTAATATCGTTTACATTGACAGTGATCGAGGTAGAATGTTATGAAATAATTCACATAGCCAAATTGACATTTTAATTCTTTTCTCAATCCACAGATTTAAGTTATACACCAACCAGCATTATGTTTGTGAATGTACCTAGCATTTCAAAAATGCAATGGCATCCTTTTACAATCACTTCAAGCAGTAGTTTGGAGGCAGATAAGCTCAGTGTTGTCATTAAGGGTGAAGGAAGTTGGTCCAAAAAGCTTTACCAGATGCTTTCTTCCCCTATTTCTGTCGATCGTCTTAATGTCTCTGTTGAAGGACCTTATGGACCTCCTTCCACACATTTCCTAAGGTATGTATGACAAAAGTAACACAGAGATAGTTTCATTTTGTCATCTAAATTATAGTTTCTCTTTGCAATTGCCAACTATGTCCATTTAAGGCTTAATGGTCAGTTTGGTAATGAAATTGGTAATATTGTCACATGAGATATGACAAACTTAACATGATTGAAAATATTAGCAAAGGCGAGGATCTAGATTCAGTGAATACAGAATGAACGTGATCTTATTATTTTATATATACATTTTAAAACTTTGTTGCGTTTCCTTGCTACAGGCATGATTTATTGGTTATGGTGAGCGGCGGGAGTGGAATCACCCCTTTCATCTCCATAGTTAGGGAGCTAATCCACACAAGTGAATCACAGAAATGCAAGACACCAGAAATCCTACTCATAAGTGTGTTCAAGAACTCAGAGGACCTTACCATGTTAGACCTTCTCCTTCCCATTTCTGGTGCCCCATCTGAAACTTCTAAGTTAGGCCTACAAATTGAGGCTTATGTAACAAGAGAAAAGCAACCCATATTAGCACAAGACAAGAAGAACTTGAGGGCCATATGGTTCAAACCCGACCCATCTGATCAGCCAATCACTCCAATTCTTGGCCAGAACAATTGGCTTTGGCTTGGTGCTATCATATCATCTTCCTTCATCATTTTCTTGATTTCTTTGGGGGCTTTGAATAGATATTACATCTATCCAATTGATAATAATACCAATGACATCTACTCTTATCCGATAAAGGCGGTGCTGAATATGCTTCTCATTTGCATATCCATAGTCATCACAAGTACTGCAGCATTTCTTTGGAACAAGAGACACACTGGAGCGGATGCCAAACAGATTCAGAACATGGAAGGTGCAACTCCAACGTCTTCACCTAATTCTTGGTTCTATAATGCTGATAGGGAAATGGAGAGTTTGCCTCAACAGTCACTTGTTCAATCAACTAATCTCCATTTTGGTGAAAAGCCAGACCTCAAAAGTAAGTTCATCAGTTAAATTTAACTAATGGTGTAATTTTTTCTAAGCTTTTAGTGTCTGTAACTTAAATCCCAAGATCATTATAGCTATAGAATCTCTTATTCAAATTACCTGACTTTACTAGTAATTTAAAGATCTATTGGAGATTCTTACCTGCTCCAATTTGAACAACTCTCCTTTAAAAATCTTGTAAATTTGATGCAGGGATTCTTTTTGAGAGGAAAGAATCAAGTGTTGGAGTTCTAGTGTGTGGCCCAAAGAAGATGAGACATGAAGTTGCAAATATTTGTTCCTCTGGTTTAGCTTCCAACCTTCATTTTGAGTCCATCAGCTTCAGTTGGTGATACTTTTTTCTCTGGCATAATTTCAAGAGACTTAACGTATTATGCAAAGTCCATAGAATGACAAAATACACAAAGGGAAAATAAGATAATATCTCTTTTATTTTATTGTTGTTGTGGTTATGCTCATGTTGATTGAGTTTTTCAAGTGCTCCTGTTACATGTTTCCGTTGTTGTTAAATGTAAAAAGTGATAATTTTCTATTTTAATTCTTCTCACTATCAAACTCTTTATAAGATATTGCAAAAAGGTATGATTAAAATTTAAAAAGATTGAGATATTCAATCCGATTATTTGTTTCTAAGAAGTAAGAATTGCGCAAAGGGAAAAAGGAAAAAGGAAAAGGACGTTCTAAATTGACTAGACATTGATCGACAATATTAGAAAGTATAATGAGACTCTTGTCCTAACCAAGAGGTCCCGGTTTCAATTTGATTACACCACTAAAAGTTCCAATCTAAGTGCTTTTTCAACCACTAGCTTCCAATTGAGAACTCCATAGTTCCATATTAAATATATGAAAATTTACATAAAAATCATTTGATGGATTTCGAATGAGGGCAAATTCAAGTTCTGATAAAAAATTCCAAACTTTGGAAAGATTTTCTCTATGTTAAAATATTTGAGCTTCTAATGGCCGGTAGGACGAGATGTCCGCGTAAAGATATTAAACTTGAAGCAAGGGATGTAGGTAGTTGGTTGCGGAGGGGAACTAAGGTTCCTACATCAACCTCAAGTCAATATATCATAATAATTGGACTAAGGAATGAGTAGCGATATTTAATAACCATTACTTATTTTGAACTAAAAATCTTAACTGTAGGATAATTCAGGATATTTTTGTCCTGAAAAGTTGAACTGAAAACCTGAAATTTTGCACACCAGAAAAGTTCAAATTCTGAACGCACTGACTAATTCTTAAATAGCAGCCTGTTAAAGTGGCTACCTGGTGTCATTTGCACGTTTGAATCTAGTATCTTAACTTTTTTGATAACTGTAGTATCGAACCAGCTTGCACGATTATTTTATCGTATCTGCTACCTCCCCCGTATAGGTACCATAAGTGCATCATCCTAGCAAGAGACAAGAAGAGCAAATTAAAAGAAGAAAAACATACAGTTTCAGACATATTATTTCTGAGTTATGCAAAAGATTTAAAAAAAATATTTCTCATGGAAATTACTAAACCAATTAAACATGATTGAAAATGTTATATTTTGTAGCAGAGGCGAGGATCTAGATTCAGTAGATTCAGAATGAACGTGATTTTATTATTTTGTAGTAAAACTTTGTTGCATTTCCTTGCTACAGGCATGATTTATTGGTTATCTCCATAGTTAGGGAGCTAATGCACACAAGTGAAACACATAAATGCAACACACTAGAAATCATACTCATAAGTGTGTTCAAGAACTCAGAGGACCTTACCAAGTTAGACCTTCTCCTTCCCATTTCTGGTGCCCTTTCACAAACTTCCAAGTTAGGCCTACAAATTGAGGCTTATGTAACAAGAGAAAAGCAACCCATATTAGCACAAGACTGTTGAGTTTTCAAGCTAAAATAGGCTTAAAAGAGGGTGAATGGAAAATGGAGGGAAAAATAAATTTTTTGAGTTTCATCTGAGATTCCCTCCTTGACAAAGGGACATTGTCCCATATTTGAAGAGAAAAAGATTTTTGATGGGTATATATATAACTGCTCTTCTTCTAGCTCTTAAAGAGTTAAGAAGAAGGCAAGCCTCGCGCCGTCGTCATCGTCGCTCGCTCAGCTCGGCTTCGGCTTCGGTCTTCAATTCTCGGTTTATTATTGTGTAAATAGCCATTTATTTTATGGCATTTATGTTATGGCCGTTTTACATAAACAATCCTCCTGAAGAGTTGTACCTCTTCAGTTTGAGCTCAACATTGGCTATAAATACCAGTCCATTCTCTCAGATTTTCCATACGATTTTCTGAGTTCTCCTCCTTTCTTCTGTATTGTTTTAACTTCGAAGAAAGCAACAGTAAGTGTGATTTGCTACAGAACTTTGTGTTCGCTGAAACACTGGGGTTTGAATTACCACTACACCAATGTGTAATTCGTTCTATCCTGGGAGGAAATAATCCATAACCTTGGGTACTAGGAGGGGGTTAAATTCCTTAAGGAAACACTGTGAATTCAATGGGCTCGAATTAACTTCTGTTTCGTCTATATTTCTATTTATATGTTATTTTATTTTCTCCGGAATTATTTCACAAATACATTTTACTAACAAGCTTAAGGAATTTACTTTATTTTCTGTATTTGTGTTATATTCACTGTTCTGGAGATTGAAATCTACATGATTTTAACGTTTGTTTGTGTCATTCTTTTAACAGAAATGACTAATGACAACGGGAACCGGGTTGTTCCTATGGTGACTGCTAATGCATCGACAAGCCGAACAACATCGGCATTGGCACCGGCAGAAAAACCCGAAATAATTTTCCGGGATTGATTTTAAGCGGTGGCAGCACAAAATGTTCTTCTACTTGACTACTTTAAGTCTACAGAAGTTCATTAAGGAAGATGTTCCTGTTCTACCCGATGAAACTCCAGAGAATGAACGCTTTCTCGTGATAGAGGCGTGGGAGCATTCTCATTTTCTGTGCAAGAATTATATTCTTAGCGGATTGGAGGATGATCTATATAACGTCTACAGTGGCATGGAAACGGTAAAAGAACTGTGGATTGTGCTTGAATGGAAATACAAAACTGAAGATGTCGGATTGAAGAAATTCGTTGCCGCTAAATTTTTGGACTACAAAATGGTAGATAGCAAGTCTGTTATTACCCAAGTCCAGGAATTGCAAGTGATTATTCACGATTTCCTTGCTGAATGTATAAGTAGAATTAATACTAATGTTGACAGTATTAATTTTATTATGTTTACTAACATAATTTAATTGAAGGTCTTGTCATGAATGAAGCATTCCAAGTAGCAGCTATGATTGAGAAGTTGCCTCCTTTGTGGAAAGACTTCAAAAACTATTTGAAACACAAACGCAAGGAGATGTCGCTTGAAGATCTAATTGTTCGGTTGAGAATTGAAGAGGACAACAAAGCTTCTGAAAAGTGGAAACTCAACAATAATAGGAGCAAACATTGTTGAGGATAATCCTCAAAATAAGAGAAAGAAGAAGCATGCTTCTGGACCGAAAAATAACCCAAGCAAGAAGTGGTTCAAGGAAATTGCTACAACTGTGGAAAAGCTGGACACAGATCTGTAGATTGTCGTGCTCCAAAGAAAGACAAGAAGAAGGGTCAAGCAAACATGGTTGAAAAGCACGAAGATATTGATGACTTGTGTGCTATGCTTTCTCAATGCAACCTGGTGGGAAATCCAAAAGAGTGGTGGATTGATTCTGGAGCCACTCGCCATGTTTGTGCTGTTAGGGAAGCGTTTGCTACATATGCTCCTGTTGGACCCGAAGAGACGCTTTCTATGGGAAATGCTGCAACGGCCAAAATCGAAGGATGTGGGAAGATATTTCTGAAAATGACTTCTGGCAAGGTAGTAACTTTGAACAACGTCCTTCATGTTCCCGAGATTAGGAAGAACTTAGTCTCTGCTGGACTTCTTGTTAAGAACGGTTTTAGTGTGTTTTTGTATCCGATAAGGTTGTAATAAGCAAGAATAAAATGTTTGTAGGAAAAGGTTACCTCACTGAGGGCCTTTTCAAGCTGAATGTAATGGTTGTTGAGAATAATAATAAAATTTCAGCTTCGTCTTACTTAGTTGAGTCAAATGGATTATGGCATATACGTTTGGGTCATGTCAATTATAAAACCTTACGGAAAATGATTAACTTGGAAGTATTGCCTAAGTTTGAATGCAACAAATCAAAATGTTAAATATGTGTGGAATCTAAGTATGTTAAACATCCTTATAAGTCAGTTGAAAGGAATTCAAATCCTTTAGACTTAATTCACACAGACATTTGCGACATGAAGTCAATACCATCTCGCAGTGGAAATAAGGTATTTCATAACTTTTATTGACGATAGTACTCGATATTGCTATGTTTACTTACTTAATAGTAAAGATGAAGCAATTGAAGCATTCAGGCAATACAAAAATGAAGTTGAAAGGCAACTTAACAAGAAAATCAAAATGATAAGAAGTGATAGGGGTGGTGAATATGAATCTCCTTTTGGAAAAATATATTTAGAATATGAAATTATTCATCAAACAACGGCCCCTTACACTCCCCAATCCAATGGATTGCGGAAAGAAATAATTGTTCATTAAAGGAGATGATGAACGCATTGTTGTTAAGTTCTGGTTTGCCACAGAACTTGTGGGGGGAAGCCGTTCTTACGGCTAACCTGATACTAAATCGAGTACCCCTTAGCAAAACACAATCCATTCATATGAAAAATGAAAAAGGAAGGAAGCCCAACTTGAATTATTTTGAAGTGTGGGGGGTGTTTGGTAAAAGTGCAAGTTCCTAAACCCAAAAGGGTAAAAATAGGACCGAAAACCGTGTATTGTGTTTTCATAGGATATGCGATCAATAGTAAAGCATATCGATTTCTGGTTCATAAATCAGAAAATCCCGACATTCATAATAATACGGATATAGAATCAGATAATGATGAGTTCTTTGAAAATATATATCCGTATAAAAAGGAATGTGAGTCGATTGGTGAAGGATCTAAACGACCTCGGGAAGAAAAAAAGAAAGTACATTTAATTAGGAGGATCCAAGACGTAGTAAATGCTAAAGAACGTCTACTTCATTTGGACCAGATTTTGTGACTTTCTTATTGAAAAATGAGCCTCGAACATTTAAAGAAGTTATGTCTTCTTCGGAGTCATTATTTTGGATAGAGGCAGTCAATAGTGAAATAGAATCCATACTGAACAACCATACACGGGAATTGGTTGATCTTCCTCCTGGAAATAAACTTTTGGGTTCTAAATGGATTTTTAAGAGGAAAATGAAAGATGATGGCACTATTGATAAATTTAAGGCAAGACTTGTAGTCAAAGGGTATAGACAACGAAAAGGTGTTGACTACTTTGATACATACTCTCTAGTTACAAGAGTTACGTCCATACGGATTTTAGTAGCATTAGCTGCGGTGTATGGTCTTGAAATTCATCAAACGGACGTTAAGACGACTTTCTTGAATGAAGATTTGGAGGAAGAAATCTACATGGAACAACCTGAAAGATTTGTGGTTC